GTGAAGAGAAGAGACGGAAAAAGAAAACATGGATCTATATATTTCTATAGGTTCGCTTTTTCTACCGGCAATGTAGATAGCTTATCTACATTGAACACAAAGACGTCATTTTGAAGAGAAAATCAATATATTTTTGTAATTACAATTTATTTTAGGATTATAATAGTCTTTTTTTATTCTAATTTTTTAACCCAAAATGATGTCGGGAGCGAATACAGTGTTGGGAACTCGGTTCCCTCAAGCTCGGTTAAGCAGCCTTTGCGGAAGTCATTCAATGAGATCATGGATCTTGGATCTCGGCAATACCTCGACCTGAACTTCACCAGGTCGGACAGCGCAGCGAAAAATCAAAACGAAAAAAACGGGAGAGAGAAGGAGAGAGAGAACACAATCAATTTTTAACGTGGGAAAACCTTCTCCAATGAAGAAGTAAAAACTCACGGGACCTAGTCCAGATCAAAAATCCACTATGAAAATAATGGTTACAAATAATCAGAATCACCAATGTGGTGGTTAACTCAACCTCTACAACAATGGTGATAATCAAACCTCCCTAAAGATGTTTCACTCAAACTCTCTCTAAAGATCTCTCAAATACAAAGCATAAAGCTTTGCTCAAACAATTTTCTCTCAAATTTCTAATCTCTCTTAATCTCTGACCTAGCCTCCACCCACAACTAATGAATATATAGAGGATGTGAGATCTAAGTTTAGGGTTTTTTAGAAAACCCCTCAATGGACTTGGACTTAACATTGAAGGAAAAAGTTCAATATATAGATCACTTATCTACATTTACCGTAAAAACATTAAAGTCCACTTTTATATATATATATATTTATATATATATATATATAAATTTTAATCAAAATTACATAAAATTATCTAAAATAACTTTTGAAATTTTAAAGCCATAAACAAAAAAAAAATCTTGTCATTGCGAACTTGGAGCGGGGAGAAATTGCAAAATGACGTCCACATCAAAGGACATGAATTAATTTGTTGGAATCCATTGACCAACGAATGCCAATCATTGATCAAAAGGGTTGTGCGAGGAATATATAATGTTATCGTGTCCCAAATTAACAATAAACAGATTATTATTATTATTGTTATTCAGTCCTAGTCAATGTTAGTTTTTTTTATTTTTTTCTCTAATATTTATTTAAAATTTTAATTATCAAATTTTTTATTGCTTTAATCACGGATGGATGATTATGATTATGATTGCCATAACATGGATACTTTCGATTTAGGTCACCTCCACAAAATAATTGCTATGACCGTGAGGGGCGAGTCCCACTCCCACCAAACCACAGTTTCCGTTTGTCATTTTGTTCTCTCCTTTCGTTTGTTTTAATATCTTTTTTTTTTTATCCGGCTACTACGGATTGATACTAATTTTATTATTTATATTTCAACTGGTATATATATATGGAAAACATTTTCTCCTTTTTAAAGGAGAAAATTTTTCTCATGTTAGTGACACATTATATAAGTGGGTCCCACAAAATAGTGGAAAGAGAAAAAAATTAAAGGTGAGACCCACATATGCTTTGAGTCACTAACATAAGAAAAATTTTCTCCTTTAAAACGAGAAAATGTTTTCCCATATATATATATATAATTTTTTATGTTGCAGGAGATAATTTTATATTTTATTAACACATAAAAGTATGTGAGACTCCAGTGGATGAATAAATCTTTGGTACTACTGTTGCACCAAGATTCAGTGCATCTCACCAATGAGAGCATTACACATCATAGGAGAGAGAAAAAATTTGTCAGATAAAATAAAACTTTAGCTGACATGTAATATTTTTATTGGTGAGATGTACTGAATCTTTGGTACTACAGTAGCACCAAAGATTTGTTCCCAGTGGATCCATATGAGAAAAAAAGAGAGAAGAGGAAAACATGATTCCCACTTACATATTTTGTGTGTGTATGTAGTACATAAAATTATCTACTATAATAAGATAAACATTAATCACTATATATATATAAGGGTAAAATCTTAAATATTGAATGTGAAAAAGCAAAATTTCTTCTTAATAAGAGAATGGATTAGATAAGTAGTGTCAATATGGTAGTTGTTACTTGTTGGAGGACAACACCATAATAATCCTTGTTCGAATGCTGGTAGAGTCCGAAAAAAAATGGATTAGATAAGTAGTACTATTCTTACTTACAAATATAGATCTCACTAAATTTATAAATCTTTTCGTTTTTCCCATAACAATATTAACAAGGAGTTTTTTATTTTTTATTTTTATATATATACATATTAACTAAAGGGTTGTTTCCCCCTTATCAATAAAAATTGAAAAATGAGTTTGGGTAAAAGAAAGTATTAAAGCGCTACTAATTCATGTTATTGCCGATACAGATAGTTTAAAATGGGTGAAGGAGAGAGAGAATTGAGTGGATTTCTATTTTCTAGTGTAAGTATGTATAAGTAGCATTGGTGCAACAAATTAATGAAGAAGGGTCGCGTTATATCATCTTCAAACCTAATCTTAGTTTAGATGAGATTAGGTGATGTTGTCAGTTGTGTTGTTTGATATTGGACGAGCATAAAGAATTTTAATTATTTCGCTTCTGAACCAATGCTTGGGAATATTACAGTGTTTCCCCATGTTGCTTCTGAATATACTCACGCTGTTCGATCTGAAGAACAAATGAATATTTTAGTGAATAAATTAAGGAAAAAGTGTTTGTCATTTTAAATGACATCGAGTTATATCCTTTTAAGAGAGAGATAGACATAAAAAAATATTTTTTTATTTAAAATTTAAGTTAAAAAAAAACCACTCACTTTCTCTATCATGATTTTTATTCCTTCTATATATCTCTCTCTTAAAATGACATAACTTATGTCATTTAAAATGACCAACACTAAATTCATTAATTAATTTGAATTAAAAAATCTGTTTACTTCCAAATTTCCAATTTCTCTATATTTTAATAAAACAAAGGTGTATGGAATAATGATTTATTGATAGCTCGAGTTCTCAAATTATCAATTCACTGAATGAATCAGTTTTTTTTTTTTAATTCTTTATTTATTATATTTGATCAGACCAATACAATATGGGTTGACTAAAATGTAAAGGGCCTAATCACACACGGTTGAGGTGAGAAGACTTTGGGTTGAGCTGTCTGTTTTCTGGACAGGAGATAGTTGTAGATGATGGGTGATGTATGATTCTCCTTAGGCGCGATTGTCCAGACTGGGGGTACCTGCAATGACACTCTGATGCTCAAGTCAGTATCAATGTTAGGTTTTATGTGTATTCTTATTGAATTAGATCGTTCTACTTGGGCATGTACCCTGTGTTTATATAGTGAATCTGATGCCGCCTTAGGTAAGCGGTATGACTTCTGATTGACTGTTCATGGGCTGCAGGTTCAGCTGGTGCTTTCATAGCCTTATCTCAGTATGTCAGGCTATCTTGGTAGAGTAGTGGCAAGCTGGTGCTGTCTTTTGTTTATTTGTTTATTGGCGCGGTGGATCTTCATCAGTTCCTTTGATCGTTTCCTTACCTTTGAAGTTATGTCGAAAGGCGGTTCAGGCGCGATGGTAACATCGCGCCGCGATAGAAGACATCGCGCCCCAATATGGGCCTTGTGGGTTTGGGCCTTGCTCTTATGGATTTTGACCTTTGTATGGGCCTACTATATTTTATCCAGATCAATATTATAAGTGGTTCTTGATATATACCCAGAGAGGGAGAGACCATGCGTTAAATAATATTGAGTATCAATTTAATTTTTAATGAAATTGATACTCAATATATTTTGAGGGATTTGACCAAATAGAGTTTATTTCAAAACATATAATATTTAAATATTCCTATTATTATCTTATTTTAATCTTATAATTAATAAATTCAATGTACCTTCTTATATATTCAATTAAAAAGAAACATGATAATAAATTTAAATACGAAGAAACATGATGATATTTTTTTATTAAAAATTTAGATAACAGTAATAAATAAAAAAACATTATGCAATCATTTTTGAATAACAAAGTATCATGCATTCAGCCAATAGTAAAATTAATTCATGATAGGTGCATGTAATTTTAGTCGTATTAATTTTTAAAAGGTAAAAGTTATCACACAAATCATTAAAATATATATCCGTCAGTCAAATTAGTTAACGAATTAATAGTATTTCAAAGTCTTGTGTGATAATTTTTGTTTTTTAGAAATTAATATAACTCACATGATATATATTTTTTGGGAACTAAATTAAGGGTTTTATTCTTTCCAAAATTAAAACTTATTATTTTACATAATATTTATTGCAATTAAAACTAACATATATAAATGATTTGTACATGCTAAAATAAGAAGGAAATTAAGAAAATGATTAATGATAATAAATAATAATAAAAGTTGTTAAGAAGGGTTTCACATATTATATTTCTTGACAAAAAATATAATTCATATACTGCCTTCAATCATTTATGAAATCATAACAAAAAATTTAAAACTATTAAGTATTTAACCACTCACATCAAATATAATAACTCCGAGATTCCATGAACCAATGCAATTTAATATAATGTTGATAAGAATGCAACTAAAAGTGTATTAATTCAAGAGAAGGTAATCAATCCTAGCCATTTGTCCCAAACATTGGTTGCCGTGCCGGCTGTAACGGCTTTTGACTTTTCTGAGGCCGCCAGCACAACAACGATAAGTGTGCAAATAAACACCAAAATAAATAAATAAAGAGCTTTATTTTATATTTTAATTAATATTAAAATTTGAATCAAATATTAAAAAAAACGACGAATCACAGTGTGTTTGATTTACCTTTTTTTATGTTTTTAATTGATACATTTTAATTCATAATCATATAATGTAGAAGAGTAGAACTAGAACCTTATTTTTATACTCGAACTCCGAGACTATAAAGAAGAGTCATAGGCTGTAAAGATGGACCCTAATTCTTTCTTCCCCTTCTATTTTGTCCTTGTTAGCTTACTTTTTTTCATTTCACACGCAAAAAAAACACATCTTTAATTTTTTTCAATAGCGAAGCTTGCAATGAATCTAGAGGCTCAGTATTAATTAAACCCCTTCATTCCATTTTCAATTATTCGAAGTCGCTTTCTCATCTCCTGGACCCCTTTTGTTCTTCTTCTCCTTATTTGGCTCTCTTATTTTAAATGTTGTTGTTCAATTACCTCACGAGAATTCTGTTACCCATGTTGCTCTTCTCCCTTATCCTCTTTTGAATCCCTTCTTTTTTCTTTTTTCTTCTTCAATGTTTCACTCTTTCTCCTTCTAGCTCTTCTGGGTCGCTCTAGATATGAGTCAACTCGGTGTGATATTGCAGGAATCGCTACGGACACAGAGTGAGCCAAGAACGATTCTCGGTTTGTTGACGGAGCAAATGGACGGTGTAGATGAAGGCTCTCGCAGGAGGCGTAGCTTCAAGGAACGGCTGGGATTCATCGGCATGGGTTGTTGTGGGGCCACCTGGGGATTCCGTTCCGCTTCTTTAACTGTCAGGGATGATGGACAACAAGAACAACCACACCAACAGCAGCACCAGCTTCATGAAACGGATCCGGGTCAAGATCCGAACGGTTCGGGACCCGAATGCGTGGGTCCGACTCCTGCTGGTTCGAGTATGAATCTGGCGGCGGCGTTGGCGGCGGAGCGACAACTCCGGGGACCGCAGGAAGAGCCCGGAGCTGGCGGCGAAGGAAGCAGGGACAGCGTGCCGGGGACGCCGTGGAGGGTGTCGCTGATGAGGCTGCTGGAGGAGACGGAGGGTGGGGGGGACGCGGCGGAGGTGGTGGAGGAGGAGAAAAGAGAAGGAGGAGGAGGAGCGGTGGGGAATGATTCGGTGTGCTGCGTGTGCATGGGGAGGAAGAAAGGAGCAGCTTTCATCCCATGTGGACATACTTTTTGCAGGGTGTGTTCGAGGGAACTGTGGCTGAATCGAGGGTCTTGTCCCCTTTGCAATCGTTCCATCCTCGAGATTCTCGACATTTTCTAGAAATTCTTCCATCCATGAATATATATATCACATGAAATATTTAAATGTTTCCTCTTCTTTATCTCTTATTCTTAATCGGAAAAACTAGATGATACTTCTTCACCTGTTTGTTATATGATAATATGAATTTTATGTGTTTGTTTGTTACCACTCCAAATGTTTTACTCTCTTTTTTTTTTCGTGAGATTTTTTCAAAGATTCATTGATTAATTCACAAATTTAATCGAGTCGCGAATTTAGAACTCAAATTCAAAGTCATTAATTTTTTAAGTTGGATAGTACCGTGTAAGTTAATCCACGCATTTGTTAATCGACGAGTTATATTTTATATTCTTTTATGTATGTTATGATATCACTATTTACGTAAACAACAAAGTCGGCTCTACCTATTTTGTTTTGTTTTGTTTTTTTTTGGAAGATAAAGGAAATGAAAAACACAGTAAAAAGGCCTAAGTACAGAACCTAGCACAGCGAACACCTACAGTGTCGCTGTATAAACTTTGAATTTTGTTTTGTTTTATTTTGTTTTGTTTATTTATATAAATTTTTTTTCAACCGATTTCTTTTTTAATATTTTGAATTTTTTTAATACGCAATAAATTAGTTTTATCGTATACTGGTTTTAGGTATCCATATTTGGACTAAGGGAAATGAAATAGGAATTGAAGGGAAAATAACGTCTTTGCTTTGATATTATTGGTTTTTTACATTGATCTTTGATGAAGGTATCTTTATAAGTATTATTATGATATCAATTTCTTAATTATTATTGCAATTATAAATCCTTTTTAATGATGTTTTTTAAATTACAATAAAATTTTGACCAAAGAAAAAAGCGATACTTATCTTCAAAAAGTATACAAAAAAAAAAAAAAAAAAAATGGCGATAGAATAGGGTTATACTTTAGGAGATTAAAATTTTATCAAGGCAGAAAATGGGATGATTTTTGTTTGTTCTAATTAGGGAAATGTGTTGCCCCAAAAAAAAGGCAAATGTATTAATTACAGATTGAAAATTGTTATGAACTTATGTACCACATTTATACTGCACAATAATATCTGAGTCAAAAATTGGATTAGTTGCGAAGTAATGAACCGATTGGAATATTTCCAAAAAAATTTATATTTTTATCATCCTAAGTTCAACTCATATTAAAAATGCTTTGAATTTTTTTTTTTAATCCAAGCCTCTGTTTTTGTTTTTTTGTTTTTTTATATTGGTTTAATTCTATAGAGGATTGGGTTTGGTTGTCCTACTTATTCAATTGGTTTCGGTGACTAGTGGTGTGGTACGCACACTTGGTTAATTGTAGCCTCACGTAGATAAACAAGACGTTGAATGTGGGCAATGCGAATTTAGCGAATGGCGATCATCAGAAAAAACAAAATGTGATGGCCCAATCATTATATCTTTTAAGTTGGGCTGATGTTGATCCAGAAACAACTGGTTTTGAAAATAAAATTCACTAAGAAAAGGGCCAATGACCCAAGGTTGACAAAGTCCAAGATAATTATGTAGACTTTGTACTAAGCCCTAATTTATTGTTAAGCCCAATAATAATTTATCAGCACATTATATTTTTCATTTATAGTTTGATTTGTGAAATTCTTTAGATTTCAAGGGATAAATATTTTTAAATCATACACATCAGGAAGGAAGAAGATTGAAGAAGGTAGTTATGTTATGATCATACGTTTTTGCAGTCAATTGCAAAGAATTTCCCCGTTTAAGTTAACTAGCACTTTCAATAATTTATAAGCACAGTTATGTTAGCAATTTAACGGCATTCTTATTCTCCATACTTTTTTTCTTAAATAGTAAAAGAATTTCGCTTCAAATTTGTTGTTAACTCGAATTAAATCTATCAATGTGCATCTCCACATCGAATAGGTTCATTTAGATAAATTAATTAAGTATTCTTAAGTATCTCAATGTGCATCCTTAACTAACCAACTCCTCTGGTATTTTTTTTTTCCGGTAAACAACTCCTGGTCTTTAAAAACTATTATTGGATGCATACAAAATAAAAAAACTACAATTAACTCAACAAAAAATGTAGACTGGATTAATAAAAAATAGTTTTAACTTGACGTGACCTAAATTGATTTGACTAGGCTTGGTGTAGGCTGGTTTGCAAGTCTGAAATTATTATGATTAATCACCACAATAATTCAATTTTAATTTATTAATTTTACTTAAATGTTATTTTAAAACAAATATTACTCTATTTTAAATAATAACCAAATGGAAATATTTTAATACAAATTATTTCAAATTTATTAATAAATTTTAAATTAAATAAATTATTTAAAATCAATAGTTAGTATTAAGATTCTAATGGTATAAATACGTAAAGAAAAATTGGGTCAACAAGTCCATATAACATGAAGCGAACAGGGTAAAACTAAGCCCGATTCATTTTATTTTTTTTGGATACAAGCCCGATTCATTTTGATTCAACCGAGTTCAACATTCACCGTGGATTGATATTTCTAATTCTTTTGTCTATATTATTTCAATAGGACAAAAAGACAATTACTTTATAAGATTAATGTTTATCATTTTATAGGAAATAATTTTATCTGATACACACACATAAAAATATGTGGGACCAAGTAAGGAGAGGAGAGAGAAAAAGAAAATATGGGTTCAACATACTTTTATATGTGTATAGAAGATAAAATTTATCTCTAACAACATGAGAAATAATAATCTCTTACTTTATTTACTAAAAGAAGCAATTACATTACCTGTGAGCAAAATCCTTTTCATTTATGTTTATTAGTTAACTTGTTATAAAAATGAGATATGTTATTCTACCTATCTTTTTTGTGTGTCTACTTTACTTATCATTCTTCAACACCGTTAGATCAGAATCTCAAATAACTTTTATTATTTCTCTCTTCTCTTGAGATTCTGATCCAAAAGTGTTGAAAAATTATAGGTAAGATAGAGATAAAAAAAAGTAGATAGAATAATTTATACCTATAAAAATAAGAGAAATACTTTCTCATGTTATTAGAAAAAGTATTTCTACTGCCACACATATATTGATTTACATGTTTTAATTTTATTTTATTTTTAATTTCTTAACGGTGAAATCCACCGTAAAAGGAAAACAAACCCCGTAAAAATATAGTAACACAATGTCTTTATTTCATTTTAATTTTTTTTATCTATGCCGTAATTTTTTATTTCTAGTTACCTATGCGTAAATACAAATAAAAATCATAAAAAATTTAAAAATTTGTTATACATATGCGTAAAAATTAAATGAAATTACATATACTTATGTATATACATAAATTTTTTTATAACAACAAGTTGTGAGTAATTTTTAAAATTTAAAATGTATTAAAGCTACCCATTTAAATTGTAATAATTAGTAAGTATCTTGACCATTCCACCAAAATCAAAAATATAATTCATGGGGCCAAAGTGAGAATAATATGAAGTAAATAATATTGATTTATCTAAGTTTGCTGTCATGTTGTAAAACTACAATTTCAATGTTGTACGAGTGAATTTCCAATTTAAAAAATGTAGGGAAAAACTTGAGTGAATACCTCTCAGGCAAAAATAGAGGGAGAGGGACAATGAGGAAAAGTTAAAATATCGATTTATCCCCTCTTTTGTGTAATTTTTAATTTTTTATTCTCTCAATATCTCGCATTTTCAGCATTTATACGTCTTTCTTAGTCACTATAGTTCAAGTAAAGAACCCTCGCCATAAAATATCATTTTGCACTTAAGAGGATTTTGTAATTGTTGTTTTTTTAATAATGGAGAATGATCCGTTTATAATTTTTTTTTTACAAATTACACTAAATTTGACCGATCATACACTCTTGATTGAAGTATACCAGTCAAACATAGTGTAGTTTGTAAATAAAAAATTTGTAAATATAATCTTCCTCTTTACTAATACCCAAAATTTTCCCACCTTTAAGGTGTCACAACGTTAACCGTCAACATCCCTTTACCATGAAATTAAAACCAACACATGTTTTTATATATATGAAATAAAAATTTCACGGTGTCCAATAATAATGAAAAAACATCTGTGTAAGAAAACTCATATGTTATTATTAATATGAATGTAATATTACATAAAATTGTAAAGGCATAGCAATTTATGGGAAGAGATAGGCACCATAATTGGATAAGCATGTCGTGTGGAGAAGTATATGATTCCCACTATTGAGTTCGAGAACAGATGTTTTCCTGTTTGGTGCAAGAAATGCATGTCTTTGAAACGTGAAATGCATCCATTATTTTGGTTTTATTATTTTATAAGTTAGTGGGTGCGTCTTCGGTGTAAGTTCAACTTAAGATAGAAAGCGTTTTGGCTCTTTCTTCCAAGTATGTGGTCAGTGTCCTTATATGAAGTTATAGATCATAATTGTGCACAACAAGAGAGCTCCAAAACCTTTGGGTATTACTCTACAAAACATTGGTTCTTTGTGTGCTGCCCCCAGAAGCTTTTTGCCAAAAATGGACATTCTTTGTATGGAACCCAGTTATTGGATGCAATGATTTCATGTCCGTCTTCCTTAGAAGCTAGTCAAACCATGCATGCACAAGAACGAAGTTTTCGTGAATGAAGCTTTTCTTCCATTACATTACAAAGGAATACTGATCGAGGAACTAATTCCATTGGAAAACAGGTTCAAATAATAAAGAGAGTTCTTTAAATCATAATCGAAAATTTGGAAAGGCACATGTATAGAACATGGAAAATGAAAACTAGTTGAAAAGTTACAATGCCAAAGAAAAAACTTTGCTAGAAAGATGTCTAGCAGAACAAATTAACATTACTCAAAAGACTCATTATTTATTCTTGGAAGTAGAAAAAATGTCTTGAGAGAATAATCTCTTATATATGGGTATGAGCACGCTCAAATCTGATTAAATTTATAATTGATGAACAGATTGAAAAATATGAAAAAACATGCAACCGATGGAAAAATAAGAAAAATCACAACTCCACCAAAATCTTAATGCATTTCAGTTTCACGTGTCTTTCCAGTTATATGATATTTACTTAATCCGTTAACAATTAATATATAGGATCTCATCACACTTAAATATCCATTATTACCAATTAATATAAGACTTTATCACACTTGAATATTTTAATAAT